ATAAAACTGATAAAAAGTATGACATTTTCAATTAGCTGTCAGTAAGATGTTTATATTGTGTTAGGGATCGAATGGCACACATTCATGGCTCACTAAATATTGGATTTCAAAAGTAAGAATTGTTTTTTGTATCGTTTAAATCATGGCATCTGTTTGGACCAAACAGTTAGCGTCCGTCAGTGCCATAAAAATAATATTTGTGCCAAACATCCATACTGACAGTTAAATCAATATAACTTCTTTAAACTTTTTTAAATGTTTGCTATAATATATTTTCCATTTAAGGAAATATTACTGAAATATAGATATTAAATGTTAGATGCAAACATTTAAAAATATATGTTGGAGTACCAATATTTTGTAAAATGAAAAGCTAATCTAAATGTTTGACTATTAATATTTTTAACATTAAGACGAGAAATACGATATTTATAAAAACTATTATTTAAAATTGTTTTCAAACATAAATTAATGTTCGAAACGAAACCAAAAAAGATTTAAGAATTTATTTTTAAAATTTCAAATGTATATTTGTATGTATATTATATTTGATTATTCAAAAGCAATTGACCTCTGAATGAGTTTGTGAATTATTTAACCATGTTTGAATAAATAGAGTTACACTTCATTATTCTTTAGATTCTCTAAACATTTCGAGTCTAAACTCTAGACGTTAGAAAGTATGCAAAAATGGTTTTACACTGAATTAATGAGTCGACTGTGAAATGAATGCTGAATACAAGTCCGGAATCTGTTTATGTTCTCAAACATCAAAATAAACAAATGTGTGGAGAAGTGAATGTGATTTAGGCAACAGATCTGAACATAACTTACAATTGAGACAATGTATTGAGGGCTCACTAACAGCAATATTAATGTGTTATGTGTTAAATGAAACAAATGCCTCAAAACGGCAACACTAATGGAAAAACCAAGTTTTCTGTAGATTTAACTGACTCTCACTTTTCTTTGGGAGTCGTTTACAAACGGATTATTTTATTATTCAAAAGCTATTTATTGCTTGGATTACAAATAAATGGTATTAAAAAAGAGTTCAGATGTGAGAGCAGTAAACATGTCATTCAAATGCCAACACATAGTAGAGAAACACATATTGTTTAAGATTTGCAATTAAGTTATCACTAAATTAATGGTTAATTGCATAAAGTCTTAGAACAATCAACAAATGAATCTTTGGTTTGGTGTGTAATGTATGAACAGTTGACTAATGATGTCTTTAACATGACTTAGTCTTAGAGGTTATCTTCATTTGTAAAACAGTTTTGCGTCAAAATCAGAAGCTTAAGGAATGCTTAAGAAATGCTTAATCAGTGAATCTGTTCGCCAGAGTAATGATGACTCCATTTGTCTTTGAAGAGGGCGTTCACCCAAATTCATAGACAGATTAGTTCACAAAAAGCTCTTTTTATGTCAACACAAGAGTTTCATTAACTGATAGGGATATTGACACTCGACGGCCAACACATCCATATAATAGCTATCTATTGACAGACTTTCCATCACTTGAATATGACTTCATTTGTTGACTCAATTAACAGAATTATCTTTTGTTAACAATAGTTTGCATTTAACTTAATTGTTATGTCCTATGATTTGTCTCTTAATTCTCTGTCTATTTGTTACAGAAATAGCAATCAATTGAAGGATATTTGGAAAGAAAGTCATGCAATGCTTTGATAGGATTAGAAACGAGACAAAAGACAATAACTGCTATTTTATTGCACTTTTCGTCTCACTATAACTGTATTGATCACAGAAACGATCGCTTCTCTCACTAATAATACTGACTTTTATTATGAAAACAATTTAATAGAAAAACAATTTCCAATTCCAATGCATTCAAAACATCAGACATAAGACATCGAAAACACAAATATTTATTTTCGACCTAAACTTCACGAAACCATTTATTTGGGCACTGATTTGAATTTTAAAATTTCAACAACTCTTGAGTTGAATTTGGAAATCATAAGAACTTTGCCATCGAAACAGCTGTTCAGCAAAAGGTATGCCAGATGTGAACCACTTATCAATTATTCTGAATATATGTTTAAATTCTCAACAAATGAATTACATTTGACGGACGCCTCTTAATACGAGTGTATTCCCACTTCCATTCATTTCTACATCTTTTCAATAAACTTATTCTCATTTGAGTTAAAAGTTATATTCAATTAATTATTTCCTTTAAACTATTGAATATTTAAATCAGTTAAACATATTTTAAAACGTCATCTCTATATACTTATACTAGATATAAATAAATATTTTTATTTCATATATTTAATGAGTTTTTTGCGCAAAACTTTGTTTTATCACAAACTTCTCTCCGAAAGTGCTGTCAAAATAGAGAAATTAATAACAAATTGTGAAAACTTTACATTAAAATAGTTGTGTTAATAGAAGTGTACGAAATGGGAGAAATGCAATGAAATGAACACAATTTAATTTAACTCAAGGGATGTTTGACTGCTCTCTAAAATAAACTTAAAGTGAAAATAGTGTAAAATAGAGGAAGTAATGGAGCGCTTAGTATAGTATTGTATGGCAGACGAGGATTGAGGAGAGGGTAGAGTCGGGTATATGTCATGCTCAGTACGTAAACTCGCTTTTTTATTGCCAGACAAAACACAGGGCTTAGTGTGTTTGTCGCCCTAAAGTTGAATTGTAGTAAATTCACAAAGTAAAAGTTATCCCAAACATACTTTGCAAAGCAGAGCAGACACTCACATCCACGTGCTCTACACACAGGACAGGCAGCCGGAGCAAAGCAGAGAGAAATTAATCCAATTCAAGCAAATATTGTATAAAAGAGTACACAATTGTGTTATAAATGTTTATTCGTTCAGATTTACGCCAAACATTGCTATAAAGAGTACAAAACGAAGACTTGTTTAAAGAAAAGTCCAACAAATCTATATATAAATCAAAATCAAAAGCTAACGAATTGAACAACAACTGAAACTTTATTTACAGAACAGGAAAGGCGTAAATAATATACAACTCAAGAATAGGAGACAATGAAGAGAGAGAGAGAGAGAGGGAGGGAGAGAGAGAGAGAGACTGACATTTATGAAAAATTTGCTTAAATTTGCTGCTTTCTCGCTGTCAATGTTTTACAGAACAGTTGAGTTGAGCTGAAATGATGTCTTCACAAGACTTGTGCCAAAAGATAGTTTGACACGAAGTCTGACAACAGTAATAGTCTCGAGTATAGGACTATTTTAGCCCAAACTCTGGTTTATATTGAGAATGAGTGCGAGTTTTGATTATTTACAGAATATTGTGAATATGAAGAGAGATATGGTTTGGTATAGCAATTGAATCCTCGTGTGAGCACTGAGTCAAACACATATCTATAGCTATAGCTATAGCTGATGGCAAACATGAGTTGCAAACCAAATAAAAATCTCAATTCTTATTGAAGTTTTTATAAAATAAAAATAAAACTGAAAACTTATTGAATGCACGGTTTGACTTATTTTTTGTGCTTATAATGTAGTGTAGTTTGAATATCAGATAAGAGTTTACGGTTCAGATAAATACTATTATAAGAGACAATCACTCTTTTGATCAGTTTATGACATTTGTGAACAAATTCTAAGTCAATTGAATCAGAAATTGAGAAAATAAATGATATTTTGTAAGACATTGAATTAGAAAACATCACAAAAACATTACAAAACCATTTATAATAAAATCAAAGTCAAAGCAATTGTTTTTGTATTACGTTTAACATTGAGGTTAAGAACTTAAATACATTTATTATTTGTTCAAAACTTTTAATTAAAACTTTAATTATTACAGTGCATGCTATCTAAAATTAATAAAATTTATAATAAATTTTATTTTTAAATAAAAACAAAATCTTTAAGTTTAGAAATAATTATAGAATTAATTTATTCTTAACTAATAGAATTTAGCTAGAAAATTATCTACAATAATTAAAATAGTATACAGTATAAAACATTTTTAGGAATCTTTTAATGAAATATTCAATTTTAAATTTATTTGTTTTGTAGTGATATTATCTGATATTATCTAAATTTAATGTCTCAATATTTATAGTTTAAAAATTTAAACCAAAATTGTTAATTATTTAGTGAAGACATTGACTGCAAAACAAATATTGTTTTAATTCAAATATTATAATTCAGATAAAAGTGACTTTAAATGCAAACAACAAAATAAATATAAGAAATAAAAGTATTGATTTTAGGGAAACGTGGAAAAAATTCCTAAAATATGATCTCTTTTATAATTGAGGGGAAAGGGAGATATGAAAGCCATTATTTGATGGCATTTGACAGACATATGAAGCGTTTGGCATTATTTTGTGGACAATTTCAATAAAACCCGTCCAATCGCATCGATATAATAAGCATTAAAAATGCCAGACATTTGTATCGGACATACGCCATAGTCCATGACTTTTATAACATATTTTTGATAATCTAATGAAAATGTGAATTTCATTCGTATATCCCATAAATATAGTATACAATACTGTATAATATAACAGTTGAAAAGCAGACAATAGTGTACTTTGGATTCATTTCAACACAATTCTCATACGAAAGACTTATTTTGTCAGATCCTTGAGAATCAAAGCTTTCGGTTAACGAGTAATTTGTGGCACGACTTTATATTTTCAACACAACTTTCACTGAAAGTATGGTGAGAAAAAAAAAGTGTTTTTACTCTAACCCTTAAGATTGACTAAATATAGAGCAAATAAAATGAGAAAATACTACAATAGTTTGGAATAACGCCAGACATAACACATGAGAATTAGCTATCAGTTAGACTAATGGTTAAGAAGTAGATATTGTATGAATAATATATGGTATCATTTATGGGATATGTTATCACAAAATACAATACAAATCCTAATAATATTATATAACATTTTAATAGCTGACATGAATTGCAATCTTGAATATTGACAAAAGGATTTCTTATAAGCATTTATGACTTACTTTGAGTGCTTTGCAGATTATAGCCAACGATTGGATATCATGATTAGAATGGCGACCCTCTTGGGCACAGGTATTACAAATGGGTAGTTTACAATTGATACAAAACTTTTCCAAACAATTATCTGTATGTTCGACACATTTGAGCGCAAAGTCTTTATGTCTGCTTCTGGATCTGATGAGATGTTTGGTGAGATGTGCGGCAATGAGCTTATGTGTGGCCAGTGGTCCTCTTTGGGGGTGACATCTCTCCCGACAGGTCTCGCAGTAATAGACTTCGCACTGTTCGCACATAACGGACGCCTCTTTAGGCTCTTTCTCGCAGAGTTGGCACAGAGTCTGGGACTCACTCGAAGAGCAGTACTTCTCGACAATCGACTGCATCGTCCTATTCTTCGGTAAACTATTGGCTCCGCTTTCGTTCAGATAAATCAGTTTTTGACAGACAGGACACGACAGAGATGTCGAGTTGAGTGTCTGGAGGAATGGTGGGAAGAGGATGGCCTGGATGTTAGGCGTTCCCACATAACTGTTGGGTCGGGAGTTACAGATGACCCCGGAGTCGGTCTCACTTAATAAACTCAATTTGTCGGCGTCGCTGATCTCACTTCCAGTGGTACTACAGGTGGCACTGATGTCACCACTAATACTACTGGTGTGGACGCTCTCATCGGCACTTTGATGGACAGTCGCCGTCACGATATAAGTGGAGGCATTGGTGGGCGAAGTAATGGCAACTGGATTTATGTTGTTATTGTTGGAGGAGTTGTGTTGATTAGCACCGACTGGTTGCTGAAGACTGATAGCACAGGTAAGACATAGAGTGTGATAACAGGGCATAAGTATTGGGTTCGCAAAGAAGTCTTTACAAACGGGACATTTGAGCTCTTCTTCCATTGTCTTAACGTATGAGTGAATCAACCGAAGAGAAGATCACATATTTTCGAGTCAAACAAAGTGTATGAAAGGAACTGGAGTTTGAGTTTCCAGTGTTTGCCTAAAGCTATGCAAAAGCAATGGGAGAGAGAAACCGAAACAAGTTTTCCAACTTTTGAACCTCTTTTCAAATATTTGCAATCCTATGGCATACAGTAGTTTGGCATCACTTCTCAGGCAATGTTGCTTACAGTGCAACACTCGAGTACTGGGATCACCACAAGTAGTTGACTGAACTGAAGACTATACCTTCAATTCATGCCTTCAATACAACTCTCACTGAAATGCTATGAATTTGCTTTTGACGAGCGCTTCAATACGCAGACCCAGACTCCACACCAATCTCTGTAACTATTGCCTAATGTTCACCACTCTATCCACTCATGTCGAGACCTCTGCAGAGATGATTACAAGTCTTGAAGTTTGCAAACATTTTGATAACAAATCATACGAATGACTGAAGAGATAAAGTTTGCAAAGAGTTTATGTTAGCCTTCAAACTGATATGACATTAGACCACAACTCAGACAACAATAGCGACAATGAGTTTAATTAACTTGTTTTGCACAGAAGTGATCTAATTATCCGCAAACTCTTCACAGTTAGTGCTTCTGGTGTTGAGTGGAGTTCAGACGCCAAACACAACTATGACATCGTTATAGTTGGCGGAGGTATTGTGGGCGCCGCCACTGCCAGGGAACTGGCCATTAGGTGTGACCCTTGAATGCCATTCATTGAGAACATATGATAATCATTACTAAAAGTTATTAAAAGTTATTAATTAATGACAGAAATCCGAAACTGAAGTTTGCTATCATTGAGAAGGAGAATCAATTGGGTATTCATTTGCAAATAGTTTGCATTAACCATAAAATAATGCCTATAATTGTGGTAATTATCAGCTTTCCATCAATCGGGTCATAATTCTGGTGTCATTCACGCCGGCATTTACTACAAACCGGGTTCATTAAAAGCCAAACTGTGTGTCGAGGGCTCATCCCTGGCCTACAAATACTTGGATCAGAAAAAGATTGCGTATAAAAAAGTTGGCAAATTGATTGTTGCCGTGAATGAGGAGGAAGTGGACCGACTTAAAGAACTCTATGAAAGGGGTCTTCAAAATGGTGTTAAAGATATGGTTTTATTGGAAGCAAACGATATCAAGAAATATGAACCCAATTGTGTGGGTCTTAAGGCCATATGGAGTCCACACACCGGTATTGTGGACTGGGCTCAAGTGAACCAGTCTTTCGGCAAAGATTTTGAGTCAATGGGCGGTAAAATCTATACCAACTTTAAGGCCAATAAATTTGAATTAGAAAACGATTCCAATGACCAGTTGGTGAGAGTGACCGACAGCACCGGTAATAAAGTGATTAAAACTCGATATGTTGTGACCGCAGCTGGTCTTCAAGCCGATAGAATTGCCAGATTAACGGCCGGCCATTCAAACCCTAAAATTGGTATACATTTGATTAAAGGCTTAGTTTAAGGCTTAGCTTTAAATTTGATTGAAATGGTGTTTACTTTCAGTTCCCTTCAGAGGAGAGTATCTATTATTGAAGAAAGAGAAGAGCGATTTAGTTCGCACTAACATTTACCCGGTATATCATATCACTTATATAAGTAATTGTCATGATTAATGGTATAATAGTTAATTTAATACAGGTGAATATGTCCATGGGCTGGGAGCGAAGGGTAAAAATCCGCAAGTGAAGTGTGGAGCTTACCTGCCGTCCAAACATGTCTAATAAAAAGATGCCCACTTAAATTGCTACTTTGCACGGCTTAATCTCAATCTCAACCTTAATCTTAATCTTAATCTTAATGAATTAGAGTGAAAACCCAGTCACACACCAACCCTGGTTTACGACAAGAAAGTGAGTTTGCCCTCCCGATATTCTTCTGACTAAAGTCAAAACCTCTGTAAACCCTTTGGTAGTTTATATCGCCTAATAGAAAACTTGGTCTTTACTCATTGAAACCCACATTTCAATGCAAACTATAGCATTGTTTCATTACTATAGCCCTCAAGTATTTAGGACCTGGATTAAATGAACTCTATAGGAGTTATAGGACGGCAGCTCAGGTGGAACTGCTCCGGAAATACGTGCCCTCACTGACAGTCGACGACATCGAACCCAACACTTATAAGGCAGGCATCAGAGCCCAAGCACTCGACGAAAATGGTAGATCAAGTTGAAGGCATTGAGTGTTCATATAAACTAATTGAACAAATCATTGAAATGAAAGGCAATTTAGTCGATGACTTCGTGTTCGACATCGGAAGCGAAGGCATCGGAGAGCGAGTCCTTCACGTGAGGAACGCCCCATCGCCCGCCGCAACCTCATCCCTGGCCATCGCTAAGATGATCGCAGATAAGGCTGAACAGTGTTTCTTCAAGTGATATACAAGTCATGATATAATGAAAACTTTATTTTAGATAAATAAATCATAATATGATTAAAGGATATTTTGATACAGAAATGGGGAAAATAAGTCTTAATTGTAATACAGATAAGAAATTAATGAGTTTATATGAGATCCGCCACATTCATCGGCATTTCATCGATTTGTGTGCTGTAGTACTGCTCGATGTCCCTTAAGATCCTGATGTCGTCGTTCTTTACAAAATTAATGGCAACGCCTTTACGACCAAAACGTCCCGATCGTCCGATTCTGCAAATTAAACAATCAGTGAATGTGTGTTCAACATTGCAATCATTCTCATGATTGTGTTGTTTGGTTCAGAATAGCGTATAATTATTTAACCAGTTCTCGTGGTTTAGTCTTCACAAAGGTTCTCATCATTACATTAAGTGTTACTTATTATGAACAACAATACAAACAATGAATGTCTTACCGATGAATATAGAGCTCCCGATTGTTGGGTAAGTCATAGTTAATGACGAGTGACACCTGCTGTACATCAATACCACGCGCCCAGACATCCGTTGTGATGAGGACTCGGCTGTCAATAGAAACGAAATGACTAAACTGAAAGCACAGGTATGCGAGCATTGGTACAGACCTGGAACCACCCCTGAACTCCTTCATGATGGTGTCCCTCTCCTTCTGAGGCATATCCCCGTGCATGGAGGAGACCGTGAAGTTGGATTCCCTCATTTTCTCAGTGAGCCAGTCCACTTTGCGCTTTGTATTGCAAAAGATGACGGCCTGAGTGATGGTGAGGGTGTCGTACAGATCGCAGAGTGTGTCGAACTTCCACTCCTCCCTCTCGACGGCCACGAAGAACTGTTTGATGCCTTCCAGAGTCAACTCATCTC